TTTTCCAATTAATTGGGGACACGAATCATGATCCGCCATTCTGCTTTATTAAAGGCCACACCCCTCAATGAGGCAATAAGTCCCAATGTCTTTTCGGGCTACTTCTAACCACATTCACACACACACACTGTAGGGTCCGGGATTTTTCCGGTCGTTGATCCTGTTTACATCCTAAATCGTTTCCTACTATTGCTTATCTCTTATTTCTTTTTCGATTTGCCGGATAACCTCTGTATTGAGTTTCGAGTGGTACCATGCTATTGTAGAGATCGCAAGCTTTCCGACGGTATGAAATCGTTCAAATCTGAGCTACCATCAGAAAGTCATGATCCGTACCCTGAATATTTTCCCGCGTGCATCCCAATACGCCGTGCACGCATCCCCATGCATGCACACATTCTTAAGTGCACGAATCTCATCCCAATGCACATGATTACAGCATGCATGCCCCCCACATAATGATTACACACATGCTCTCTCTTTATGCATGCCTTCTCTCTCCTCATGCATAACTACTTGGGTGCCATGTGGCACATGCATGCTTCCACCCCCATCATTGTGTTCCCTATGCATGATAGATGTATGTATGAATGATCTCATGACAATATGATAGCAAGACACATAAATATATAATCACATGATGATATTAACACATGAACTATGACCACATGAATGCATAATACATGCTATGACATGCATACTCACATTAATACATATGACATAACTACATGATGAGATATTATACATACATAAATTACATGACCCCTACCCACATGCCACCATGCTCCCCAAAACTTATATACCCCCCCATCCACTCATAAATTAGGTTTCACTCTCTCTCCTCACCCCTTCACTTCCTCGCGTGCCCCTCTTTCCCCCTTCTTCTTCTTCTTCTCCTTTAGCCATTAAACCCCACCAAGCCCATTAACCCCATAAGCCTTAAACATTTGAAGCTTGAACCCAATCCACTTGAAGCTTGACAACCGAGGTGGAGCTTGTAGATCATTTCATCTTGATATTTCTATTGGAGCAAAGGAAGTAGATTTAGTTTTTCATGGTTTCATGCTTATGGTATTAAATGTTTCTTTGCTTAATTCAAATGTGAAATTCAAGTGTGTGTGTGTGTGTGTGAGTGTGGGTGCATGCTTACTAAAATTCTATTAAAGGGTATTCTAATTTCCAGAACTGTGGTCCCCGTTTGAGTGATTGTTAGGGTACCTTAAACCTTGTATTAGACCATGAATCTTGGTGGGTCAGTAGGATGTTGAATGTATTTCCACATGGAAAATACCCCTTGTCAACTTCTCATATAATTTGAAAGCTATTAACTATTTGTTGAAACATGCCAGATCTGTGAATTGAAAATCCGAGGATTTGACATGTTTCTGTGTGAAGCTTTTGACTGACATTAATTAATCTATACTCATTTATCTAACATTTCGAAGTGGTTTCATTTATCTAAGTGGTTTCGAAGTGGTTTCATTTGATAAATGAGTTTAGATTAATTTTGGTCAATCAAAAGATTCACAAAGAAACATGTCTAATCCCTAGATTTTCAATTCACAAATCTATCATGCTTCAACAAATAGTTAATAGTTTTCAAATGACATGAGATATTAACAAGGGGTCTTTTCCATGTAGAAATACATTCAACATCCTATTGACCCACCAAGAGTCATGGTCTAATGCAAGGTTTAAGGTACCCTAACAATCACTCAAACAGGAACAACAATTATGGGAATCAGAATACCCTTTAACAGAATTTTAGTAAGCATGCACCTACACTTACACACACACACTTGAATTAAGCAAAGAAACATTTACTAACATAAGTATGAAACCATGGAAAACTAAATCTACTTACTTTGCTCCAATTGAAATCCTTATGATGAAATGTTCTACAAGCTCCACTTCGGTTGTCAAGCTTCAAAGGTTTAAGGCTTATGGGGTTAATGGGCTTGGAGGGGTTAACGACTAAGGGAGAAGAACAAAAAACAAGGGGGAAAGAGAGGCACATGAGGGAGTGAAGGGGTAAGGAGAGAGAGTGAAACCTAATTTATGACTGGATGGGAGGGGTATATATAAATGTGGGGGAGCATGATGGCATATGGGTAGGGGTAATGTAACTTATGTATGTATAATATCTCATAATGTAGTTATGTTATATGTATTAATGTGAGTATGCATGTCATGGCATGTATTATGCATTCATGTTGTCATAGTTCATGTGTTAATATCATTATGTAATCATATATTTATGTGTCCTGCTATCATGTTGTCATGGGATTATACATGAGATCATTCATATATACATCTATCATGTATGGGGAACACAATGATGGGGGTGGAAGCATGCATGTGACACATGACACTCAAGTGATTATTCATGAGGAGAGAGAAGGCATGCATGAGCATGCATAGAGAGAGAGAGAGAGCATGTGTGTAATTATTGTGTGGGGGGCATGCATGTTGTAATCATGTGCTTTGGCATTGGGATGGGATTCGTGCACATAAGAGTGTGTGCACGCATAGGGATGTGTGCATGGGGTATTGGGATGCATGCAGAAAAACATTCGGGGTACGGATCATGACTTTCTGATTGTAGCTCGAATTTGAGCAATTTCGTACTGTCGGAAAGCTCGCAATCCCGACAATAACACGATACCACTAAAAACTTCATACATAGGTTATCCAACAAATCAAAAAAGGCACACACACACACGCACGCAAGCACACACACACACACACGCATGCAAGCACGCACGCACACGCACACACGCATATAGTTCCTTTTATGATTATCCAAATCCAATTTAGAAAAAACAATAATCTATTATGGAGAAGAAATAGGAGCAAGATAGAGCTCAATAGAAGACAATATAAAACATTTGAAAAGGTTAGATAGAAAATTAAACAGCTATGAAAATAATATCTGATGACTCTTCTTTCCTTGCAGTGCTATGAATCAAGTTTAATGTCTTAACCATGGAATATATAAAAACTAATTTTTATTCAAAAAATCTCTGAAATTATTGTTTGTCTAGTTTCTCAACAGGAGCATCATGCAATGCACGTGCCATTGCCAGATTTCATAATGCTTATACAATGTTTAGATACTCACAATCAGAAGCGTGCACAAAATGTACAATACAGCCCAGAAGATTTACTATGCATCTATTTCTAAATTGAACATCGACTTCTATAAAAATAGCTCAATTTTTTGTAAAATAAAGGCCAAATCCAAATTTGAAGCCCCCTATGATACCAATTGCAAGCCAATTCAATTGACGTGGAGCCCAAAGATCAGTAGAGAGTGGTAAGTTTCATCTCTGTTTTTGGCTCCAACTAAGTTTTCTTTTTCCACCAATATTGGGAATTTTTCAGCAAAAATTTCATCCAGAAATTAGGCAAGCGGTGCCCAAGATAATTCCACCACGAGTTTCAGTTGATTGTGAATTAGAAGGTAGATACCAAATAGTGGATGGAATTGAAAACTCATAATCCAGATAGATGGAAGCGATTTACCCAATTCAAACTGAACCTTCCAATTTTCAACAAGCTTAGGACAAACTCAGCCAAAAGTTAACTAATCTGTTGAATATTCAGTCCATTTCAATCTCTGAATTCAAAATCTTTCCCACCACCATTTTAATAGCAGACTAGGACCTCGTCCTTAATAGTGAAAGGCAGTAGCAATTCAAGTTCTCACATCGACAAAATAAAAACAAGACCACTTTTTCAAATAGTAGTTTTAAGTGCCATGTCCACATAGATCAATTATGAGAGATAGAGAGTGTGTGTTTGTGTGTGTATTTGAAGGCTCAGCTGTATAATTCATATAATATACAACAAATACGACATCCATTCGCTAGCCAATCAATAAATTTAAAATTTCAGAGAAATCCAATGCCATTAGAACATATTATAATCACTTCCTCTCATATCAAATCAAACAAAAAAAATCAAAAAAAGTAAAATAACACTATAGAAATACTTTTTCTCATCCAAATCTAGCCCACATTTCCCCGATTACAGCAATAATCAAATCCAGCCACCAAATTCCTGCCATAAAAAAGAGAGAATACAGTAGAAAAGGAACAGGGCACCCAAAAACGAACAATATGATCAATACCTGCTCAATCAGTCGATGCACAGGGCTACCATTAGAGGTCAGATTCGATGTCTCCCTGTAAGTGTTCAGGAACAACCTCAGTAGATCATAGGTATACTTTGCTGGCATATCATATATATAAACCCTAATGGGCACAGCACCCACAAACCCCTTCTCAAATGCCCTTTTTTCATTCTTCCACATCGCGAAATCAAGCTTCTTGGCCTCCTCTGACAATTCATCATCAGAAAACGAACCAGTTGCCTGTATTTGGTCGGAATTTTCCGATTGTAGCAAATAGGATCTGGTCTTGAGGAAACGGTCGAGTGATACGACGAAGGAGTGCTCAGCTTTGAGGCTTCGAATGGGAGGAGAGAGATTAAAGTTTTGGGCTTGAGGGGAAGAGAAGAAGAAGAAAAAGCTGATGAAAAGGAGCGAGAGAGTGGATAGAAAGAGGATTGCAGTGGTTGATTTTCCCGTAGGGATTCTAGGGTTTCCGTTACCAGAATGCTTTCCAGCCATTGTTCGTTATGGAAGAGCGTTCGTGGGTTTCCAGGTCACAGAGACACCCAGTTATGCTAGTCCACAAGGAGAGAGAGCGAGCGCATATATGTTTTGGAGAGAGAGAGGAGGCAATCAGGTTGGGTCGACGCGGTTCGACTCGATCCGGGTTGGGGTCTGTCCTCAATCTGATGGATCGGGTTTTGGTCTAACACTAAAATAGTAGGCTTTAAGTCAGGTTCGGGTTAGGGCTTGGTCTAGGTTGGTTCAACATATATGTGCATATGCATATAGGAAGAGACTACGCAATACTTATGGGTGAAAATGAACAGTAATTTTACTCATAAGATTGGCGTCATTTGATTTTTTTTAGACGACATGGATTAAAAGACCGCCACGATATTTTTTCAAGCAAAAAACACATGGGTAACCGCCTCACTCACGTAGATCGGTGACAATTTTTAAAGTAAAACCATCAGGGTAAAATACTATTCAATTTCACCTATCGGCATTTATAAGAGTTTTCTATATGAGGCACACCTCCAAATTTTATCATAACATGTGATTTTGGTATTAAATTTTTTTAGATTTATCTCAAAATTTATTTTCATATCTAATTATAAAATTTTAAACTTCAAAAATGGTTAAAATTAGGTAGGTAGATATATAAATATATGAAAATCTTGAAAAATGGATGGTCTAGATAATGTGTTGCAAGATGCACTATTTCTGAGATTAAAATTCTTTTTCTTTTTTTTTTTATATTTTTACATCTCGATGTCGAGATGATCAATTAGACGTTTTTTCAACATTAAAATAACATTTTTGATGAATTTTTAAGGTGCTATACATTTAGGGGTTGCAACCATATATAAATTTTTTTAAAATGTATATATATATGAGTAGTGATGTCATGCAACGGTTGTATCATAGTTTAATGCAACCACATTTCTAGAAAACCATGTTCGTGATATTTGTACGGCCTAAAATTTTGCATACAAACCCTCTTTATCTCAATAATCAATCTCAGAAAAAATAATAAATTTGAACCCTAGATATGGTAAAAATGAGTCCCCTCTAAAATGAATCTAGATCATTTATTAGGTGAATTTCAAGATCATTTTTTTCCATTTTTTCACATTGTTCATCTAATGATAATACGGGCTATGTTAATTAGGCTAAAAAAATACTTTCTAAATTACATTTTCAAAATTTTATTTTTTGTGATTGTTCATTAGAATGAAAAGAGTGTATATTTAAAATTTGGGTGCGGTTTGTATATAGAGCCTAGGCTCTAAACAATCAAATTAGAGCCTACCTCCAAATAGCACCAAGAAATGTGGTTTCAATATTGGAAATCTTTGTGATAGCTTCAAAATATATTTTCATATCTATTTATGAAGTTCAAAGCTTCAAAAATACTGTAGGTCGACATATCTATGATATCTTGAAAATTGCCCGTCCAAAAATGCATTATAAAATACACTATTTTCAAATTTTGCAATCCATTTTTTTCTCATGTCTATGCACCTTGATGTCAAGACGATCAATTTGAAGATATTTGGGTATCAAAACAAGCTCTTCTTATGAAATTTTTAAGGCTGGCTCAAATTTGATTGTTTAGAGCCTCGGCTCTATATAAACTTTTCCCTTAAAATTTTGGATCAAAACAAATGGTCTTAAAATTTTAAAACATAACTTAGAAAATATTTTTTTAGGTTAATTAACGTAGGCCGTTCATTTTGGTGAGATGCTTAGATCTAGGCTTTAGAATGATTTTTTCATTTCCAATTTTTTTGGATGGCTTTATTATCATTAGATGAACAATGTTAGAAAAAAAATAAAAATAAAAATATTTTGAGTTTATAAAGGTTAAGATCTTGAAATTCACCAAATGAATGATTTAGATTCATTTTTAGAAGGGACTCATTTTGACCACAGCTAGGATTCAAAATTATTTTTTTTTTTGGGATTGATTATTGAGATGAAGAGTGTGTGTGCAAAATTTTGGGTCATACAACTACCACAAACATGATTTTTTAAAAGTGTCGTTGCATTATACTACGATACAAACT